GGCAGCCCTCCCCACTTTTTGGAGCGAACGTTCATCACAGTACCTTTTTGCCTGTGCACTTTGACGATTTTCTAGATTTTAGAGATGCTTCTTTGAATGACATTCCATTTAAGGACCGCTATAGAAATTTTGTTGTTATGAACAATCTGAATTTGGGATGTTCCAGTAGGAACTGTGCTATCTCCTCTCTCTCCTCATTTGTTAGATTTGTTGTTCTCATTTTGTGTTTTGTGTTGTGACTGAAATGGCATGGAATATGTATTGTGCTGGTTTGAAACAAGTGTTGTACACAGTAAATGGGGGGAAGTATTTAAAGTATTGTGGTGTGCTTTTGTAATGGAGGGATTTACCCCTCCAATATATTGAAAATTTTTGTTTTGAAGGGTGTCTGGCACATGGTACACCGCATATGTACTTGAGGCTATTAAAAAATCTCCCTTATCTTTCTTATTCATTGAATGTCAACTCCCACAATTTCTCTTTCCCCAACTTAATTACTTTTTCTAATTTTTCTTTTTCCTCTCTTTTTTAGCCAAATTACTTTATTTAACAACTTACCTAAAAAATCGTGTCATTTTCCCAGAGAACCTTCTAACAGGACGAAAGGAGTATATTATGTGAGGACAACTGGACAAGTGGCTATATCATAAATGTTAGATGGAGTTAGTCAAGATATCAGGTAAGGCACAAAGAGGATGCTTTCGTCCACTTCTGGTTGGATCCCCTAAACTACTTGTTGGTGGTGCCCCTTGACCGTAAGTGATGTACGAATGAAGTCACTTCTTCTCATGGGTTAGGACATAAATGTACTTAATGATATGGGTCATGGGTACATGTCCATATACTCCATCGATGTGAGTTTATGTATACACTAATACAAACTACGACGACAACAACAACATCAGCAAGAGTACAACATCATCATCATTAACATTCACAATAATTAAAAGTGATCCATTAGGTGCAATTCAGTTACTAAGCACATGACATATTCCTTAGGATGGGCAAGCAAGTGTTACATTTGAACTCTCGGGATAGGGTTTTAAAGTAAATGTAATACTCCCTCCGTCCCGAATTGTAAGACACTTTACGGTTCACGATGTTTGACCGACGATAAAGCAAATTGATTTCTATCAACACTCAAATTCGTTTTAGAAAATGAAATTTACATATTCAGAAACTACATTAAAACTGCTACAAAGCTTGCAAAAAATAATTCAAATTTCATAAAAGTTTGATTTATAAAGTAAGAGATTGAGAGTTATTTATGTTGACCAAGTGAATATGAAATGTATCTTACAAAATGGGACTAAGGGAGTACTTGCAATGGGTAGAAGAAAGCGCTAAAACTGATCCTAAAGATTTTACAAAGTATTATACTAGATCCAATGCAATTTGCAATGAAAAGAAGAAACCATTAGAACCGATCTTAAAAGCACTACGAAGTATTATTATACTAGATCTAATACATTGGCAGCAAACATAGCGCTACAAAGTTGTTACAATTAACAGATTGAAATGAATATTTTCACCTCTTGTAATAGATTTGAGTGCTGCAGTATCCCTTGAAATGTATTAGTGGATTGTATTGCTGAAAGGAGGCCATGGTGCGTTGATAGAAGGGGTCAATTGAAGACAATTCCTAAAGACTCTATCAATTAGTTTCCCAAATTATGATCTATCAAACAATTTTATTATTGTCGCATAAAAACACACAAAAGAATTATTGCAATATGATATATGTTGTTTTTGTTCAAAAATTCAAATGCAAATTTCTTCTTTTTTTCTTTTTCTTTTCGTACCTACAGACTTTCATGGTAGTAAAGTACCCAAAAAAACTTGTAAGAAATATGTAGCAAAAAAGTCATGATCGGTCGAGTTTAAAATCTTTTTAAATGTTCGTTAGATAAAAATTCTCCAATATAGGACATAATGAATAAGAGTAAGAATATGTCATGGTTTAATAAGATGTTAAGTAAGTTATTGTTGCATCAAGAGGATATACTAGTATATACTTAAACCCCTAGAAATCTTAAAATGATGTAGCATTGAGATGACAGGTTCAGTTAGGCTTTGACCATTTTAATTAGCTAGTAAGGGATATGTGTTTTGGTATTTGGGCCAGGGCCTGTCTCGTGCCATTTTTTGTTGCTATATAATTGGGTCAAGTTAGTTTAGCTTAGTTAGTAACTTAGCCACTTTTATTGATACATTTGTACACATTGTATCAATACATCATTGCTACTAGGACTTGGTACTTTTTCTTTAAAGAAGTTTCAATACATCATTCATCAAATCAAGCTCGAAAATGTTCATATATATCATATCTCCAAAACAACATATCATCTGAAAAGCATTTTTGAAAATCAAACTAGAAATATAGCTAACACATTTTTTTTTGGTTTGAATGGTCCAGTCAACGTCTGACACATCGACCATTGATTCTTCCATTCAGCCTGGGCATTTCTAGGTTGCAAACACAAGTCAAGCCCGAACACGCAGTCCACTGGCCACAGGAGCCCAATGGACCGCTGGCTAGACCATGTGTGTTTGAAAGGAAGCGAGAGAGAGTCATTGGACCATCCTTGCATGCCACAACATCACCTTTTATAGCTATAATATAATGACCGTTGACATGCATGTCCAATGAATGACATCGATCATTCAGTTAACCGCACAATGTATCTTTTGAAAGCCCCCCCCCCCCCATTCTAAACGACTACTTGACTAATAAAGCAAATACACCGGTATTATAACATAAAAAGAAAGGGTTACACGCCTAAAATATTTAAGCATCAATAGGTTACCTTATTGGCCTTAGCTATATGGTGGGGCCAATTCCCAACACATTCTTTTATATATGGAAATGCCTAACAAATTACATATAATAATTAAATTTAAAAAAGACTATGGAGTGGATCATGTTCATCCAATTGTTGATGATTTGCACTTTAGGTTTATCTTATGATGCCTTGCCATCTAGATCCAGTCCACGTCTCTCTAATTCGAACACCTTTGAGAGGCTTTACGTGGCGATGTTGGTTTTTATCATCATATTCAAGGACAGTCTTAAGGAATGGGTATCATATGCAATAGAATAATTTGAATCTCTATATTATAAGTAGAAACATATCTTAGGATGAATTTGTCAAGAGATAGCTTTTGAGATAACTACTTTCTCAAGCTTCACACATTTCTTTTTTCTCAAGTCATCTTTTCTTTTTAACTTTCTCATATCATGATGGATATTTCTTTAGAGACGTACTTATTATAAAATATATTAAACCCCCCAATCTTGTACATTCACAATTGTCGACATTGCTTAAACCAAATAAGAAGTCATTCCCGCTGCCACAAATTACACACAAACACGGTACGTTACATAGTTGTTGCCAACTACGGAACACAAAAATTACACACAAGTATATAACACATCATAAAAGACAATTAAAAAAAAAAGAACAAACACTCAAAACCCTAAAATAGAAGACCATAAAATACAACAATACATGAATTTGAAATAAAAAAGAAAAGACCAAGTGGCTGCCCTTTATTGCATATTGGGAAACAAAATGTGAAAGTTACCATATCTAAAAAATCTTCTCTCAAAAAGACGAGCGTGGCATGACCTCGTCGAACCATAACTTCCCTATCGCTAGCTTTTGTCTTCGCCCTTCATTATTCATTGCTCGATCACTGCATTCTTCTGAAGTTAAAGAAATTGAACTCTTGCAGTCACTTTTTTTTTATCGTCAACTAGTATTCTTTCATATCATAAATTTCAGGATGATTACATCAGTCAAAGGAAAAACAAAACAGACACCAACTAAATTCCAACAACTATGACTATAAACCCTATGATCAGACTTAGAGACGGTCACCCCTGACAGAGCAACCGGAATCGCTAACCATGTAGCGGGCTTGACACAGCCATCCATGTTTCCATAGATCCAAACGTACTCAATTACATAAAAAAAGCTGAAATCCCAAACAAACTGACAAACCTAACAACCTAGACGATAACAAGAATTCAAATGACAAAAAATAACAACTAATAGAATAACTTTCACGAACTCAATCACCTCGTACAACCCATGGCGGTGGTTCCGGAGGAGGCCGTATCCTTGGTACCATTCTAATTGACCCTCCATTGTCAATTGTCAATTGTCATCTGACCTGCTCGAAAGACGCGCAACTCTCCTCGTCCCGCGCTCTTAGCAAATCCACCGCTAGCGGTCTTCATCGCTGCCATGCCCTTGCTACCCAAACTCATTCTTCCTCCCAAAAAAGAGAACCAATCGGATCGCCTATTGCTTGGGATCAAAACGAAAGGAAACGCCGTAGCAGACCAACGTTCGACTAGTTGCTACCTTCAAATACTTATTTTGCCTTCCAAATACTTAATACTCTCTGTAATTCAATGGAAGAGATGTGTGTTGACGTGATGAACAAGTACGACTACTACTCGTATTTCTTAACGTGCTATGTGTCAATGAGGTGCTCATACCCAGTACGATCTCGAGTGAATGTGCTCCAAAATTAATCGTATCTCTGGGTTAAGAAAGCATATAACTTTGATGCTAAAAGATATTTGTATAATTTCTTTTGGCAGTAATTAGTTATAATAAATCTAATACATGGCACCAAAACTATGTATTAATAAAAAATATTAGTACCAAACAAGTACTAGTACTACGTATAATCTAAAAATTTGTACCAATTTGTGAACACTAAACGTACTCTTTAACTAGTCCGAAAACCCAAATTTATATGATTTCGATTTCCCTGTATATTCAATTGTTTTGGTTTTTCACTTTTTCGTCCATTTGCAACTTGTTTGTGGATTTAATTGTGATCAATGTGAGCTTTATTTCATTAATTAATGAAAAAAGTCCAAGACAACATTTTTTCAAACTAAAAAGTTGTGTTTTACTGTGAGCAGGAGCGGGTTGTCGATTATAGAAACTTTCCAAGAAAAACATATCACTAAAAACGAACCATAGAATTTAATTTTGTTTTAGGAAAATCATACGGAGTCGTATATATGCAATAATAATCTTTTCGCAGAGTGGTTGCAAAACAAAACCCTAAAAGGGTTCTGTGGAACAATTCGCCGCCAGAATGATCTCTTTCTCCCTTCTATATCTCAATCAATCTTAATAATAACTTCAACCCTATCTCACTCGTCTTCTGACTCTTTTTTCTGAATACTCTCTTGAAAACCCCCATTAGTCATGGCACTGATAAGCTACACAGAAACAAGCGAACTTTTATGTTTCTGGGTTGTGTGATCGCAGATGGTTTGGAGTTCTCAAACTTTTATTCAGCATAAATGAATGAACTTTATTTGAGTTTGTAATAAAGATTGGATTTTTTCGAGGTCAAAGGTTTGATTTTTTGAGCTCTTCCATGTGGGTCTTAATTAGCCCGGGATTTGGACGGCAAGGTGGTTGGTTTTAATCTCTGGGTTTGTAGGGTTTGTGGGTATTGTAGCTTGTGAATATGTTATCTGAATTGGATAGGAGGCCAATGAACGGAACCAGCGAGAACAACTCCTTCGGCGATGATTTGGAGAAGGAGATAGGACTGTTGCTTCGCGAACAGCGCCGGCAAGAAGCCGCCGACGATCGGGAAAATGAGCTCAGTCTGTATAGAAGTGGTTCGGCCCCTCCAACAGTGGAGGGTTCACTGAGTGCAGTCGGCGGACTGTTTAATCACGGCGGCGGTGCTTCTCGTAATAACTCTACCCTTCAGGAATTCGACTGGAATAGAACTGGCAATGGCTCCATATCGGACGATGAACTTAGGTCTGATCCTGCTTACTTGTCTTACTATTACTCGAATGTGAATCTGAACCCTAGGTTGCCTCCTCCACTGTTATCGAAGGAGGATTGGCGGTTTACTCAAAGATTACAAGGTGGGGGGTCCGCCATTGGGGATAGAAGGAAGGTTAACAAGAATGATGGGAGGTCACTCTTCTCAATGCCCCCTGGATTTAATCCAAAGAAGGCAGAAACAGAGAATGATTCTGACAGTTTACATGCTCCAGTTGAGTGGGGTGGTGATGGTCTGATTGGGTTGCCCGGATTGGGACTGATTGGTACTAAACAGAAGAGCATTGCTGAGGTCGTTCAGGTGAGTGCGCCAAAGTTTTTTTCTGTATTTTATTGTTTCTTTTATCTTCTAAATTAATAGTTTTCTGACTTGGTTGTTTTTTATGATTAACATTCTTAATTGCCAATATATTACTGCATGTGGTTATCATAATTATAGGCCTGATCCTTTAGAAGGTTCAGCCCCCATTATATCTTTGAGTTTATTGCAAACAAAAAGTATATGTGTGTTTGTTGTTTGGATTAGTTTTATTACCGTATGCATGTATTTTCCAGATACTCTAAGTAATATTTGTTGTAGTATGGACTATGATTTTGCTCAAAATGAATACTTTTGAACTGATGCAATAGTTTCTGTTTTTCTATGTGAAGTAAGTTTTTATTTGTCTGTTGTACACAAATTATGATAATAAGTAATTCATGATGATTGATAAATTGCGTGTACTTTCAGGCTCTGAAGCGATGCACAGGTGGAAAAATTTGTTCATTTTGGGGGTTAAACTATTTATTTGTGCATTTCTCTTTTGTCATTTATGCGTAGTAACGTTTCTTTTATTGGGAATAATTAATTGAAAATGAAGTGATGTTTTGATCGCAAGTATGTTTATTGATTAATGTACTTGCGTGAACACCCGCCCGAACGTCCCAGTCAAAACAAATTCTTGTGGTCATGTTTTGTGCTACACGCGCTGGGTTTACAATGCATGGTATTTCTATACAAAAGAAAAATTTCTATGATTATGACGCTTTTAAAATGCCTGGTCTTTATTACGTAGTATTTGTAAAAAGGTTGCGACAATAACGGATCATTGCATGCGGTATTACGCAACACTATGCTTTAACTAAAATTAGAAATTTTATTCCCCTTTATCTGCATGATATTTACGGTGTTGATATTGACAAAGAAAGTTCCGTTTGAAACCATCTTGCTCATTTATTCTTCCAAAAGCAATATAGAAGCCGAACTATATTAGTGCTTCTCTATTTATGTAGGTGAACATATTGTCCCCTTTGGTTGTTTATTTTTCTCCTTTGGACTAATTGTCTACCATAAGTTCCTGGTGCCCATAGGATATACCATACCATAATATTTAAAAATAAATAAATATTTATAAATATAAATATAAGTATATATAAGCATGTATGTAAAATGGAAAAATATTGTTTTGCTAATGGCTTCTTTCGTAAGGACATAATTTTTTTCCCTTATGAATATGCAGTGTTTCATATATCCATTTACTGAGTTAATTGCTGATTGGCTGATTGCTGATTATTGTAGGATGATTTGAGCTGTCCAGCACCTGGACACCATGTGTTTGATGAGGGTGGTGATACATTGGTTTCAGTTGAAACAGAACTTTCCAATCTTCATGGTGATTATTCATCCTCCGACCCTTTAAGGTCTGCAACAAATGGTCAGGTGGGGCCACCCACATCTTATTCATATGCTGCTGCTCTGGGGGTATCATTGTCAAGGAGCACCACTCCAGATCCTCAACACATTGCCAGAGCTCCTAATCCTAGTGTTACTCCTATTGGTGCTGGAAGGACCATAGCATCAGAAAAAAGAAATACTAATAGTCCAAACTCATTTAATCGCATTTCCTCTAATGGAAACGAACCTGCAGATCTGGTTGCTCCTTTATCTAATTTGAATCTCTCAAATGGTATGATGTAATGCCAAGAATCATTTCCTTTTACTCTTTTATTGTAAGAAAAATTTCCATTTTCAGCCATCAACTCACGGATTTTGCTTTTCAACTTTTGGATGCTCTATGCTGGGTTTCTTGCCACTTATGGTTCTTTCAGTCACTTAACAAGCGAAAACCAACTAGAAATTGTACAAAAATTGATTTGAAGGACCCAAAAATGGCAAGAAATCCAAAGTCGTGCACCAAAAGTGGAAACAATGAACTTTTGGATGCCCTAATAGTTATGGTACCAAAAGTATAAATTTATTGTAATGAAATTGATTATAATTGTGCATCTATGTTTTTTCAGGCGCTCCAAATAATGCGAAGAAACATGCTTTTTTGAACAAAACTGAAACTGGGCAGTATTTCGCCTCATCCAATTGCAACCAGCTTGGTTTACAGTATGGTGAAACTGGTCCTAATAGCACTATATTTTCTGGTGGTCCCTACCACAAAGGGTCTATGAACTCTTCCTTCAATGGGGAAGTTGACTTGCTTCCTCAATACCCAAACCCAGATAGCCCAAACTCGTCATTTTCAAACTACAGAATGAATGGGCATTCTTCCTCAAACCAACTACCCGGTCAACTTGGCAACTATAATCTTCCTCCTCTGTTTGAAAATGCTGCTGCATCTGCCATGGCTGTTCCTTCTATGGATTCTAGAATGTTCTCTGGGTCAAATTTTAACTCTGCTTCTTTTGACCAGAACCAAATGGATCCAATGTATATTCAGTACTTGTTACAGGTTGCAGCACTAAATGATCCTTCCATTGATAGGAACTATATGGGTAATTCATATACGGATTTGCTCCAGAAAGCTTATGTTGGTAGTATGTTATCTCCTCAGAAATCACAGTATGGTGTTCCAATGAGTGGCAAAACTGTTGGTTCCGGCCATAGTAATGGATATTATGGAAATCCTGGATTTAGGGTTGGTTTATCTTATCCTGGAAGTTTGTTGAGTAGTCCTGTCATCCCAAACTCTCCTGTGGGACCTGGTAGTCCTCTAAGGCATGGAGAGTATAATATGAGAGTTGGTGGGGGAATGAGGAACTTCGGTCCAGGTGTGATTGGACCTTGGAACCTGGATAACTTGGAAGGCAGTTTTGCATCTTCTCTTCTAGAAGAGTTCAAGAGCAATAAAGCTAAATGCTTTGAGCTATCAGAGATTGCAGGCCATGTTGTTGAATTCAGGTATGCATGCCTCACATACAGGGTAGAGTTGAATTTAATGAAGAGTTAATATGTGATTTGGAACATCAACTGTCACTATTACTCAATTTGGTCATCATCTTTCTTTTGGGGTCAATTTGATCTCTGGACAATATAAACTTTTACACAGTTTAGTCCTCATGCATATTTCATAGTAATTAAGAATGGTGTTTTCATATGCAAAGGATTAAAGTTGGTCCAAATTAATTAGTTGATGGCCTAATTGAGGCTGAAGTTGTGTCTAAATTTGTGAGTGGCCAAAAATATGGGCCTGAGTTTCACTGTCGAGGACCAATTTGAGTCGAATAAAAGTTGAGGAGCGAATTGATTAATAGTGTATAGTAGAGGGACTAAATCAAGGATTAACTCTCTAATAAGTTTTGTTTCTTCTCTAATCAGTGTGGATCAGTATGGGAGCCGATTTATTCAACAAAAGTTAGAGACTGCAACTAGCGATGAGATTAACATGGTCTTTCAGGAAATTATTCCTCAAGCCCTTACACTGATGACCGATGTTTTTGGTAATTATGTAATCCAGAAGGTACAAATATTGCTCATCTCTTTAGTATGTGTTGGAGCTTAGTTGTCTTCACATAACTTGTGCTGGAGATTAACTTTCTTCTTTTCAGTTTTTTGAACATGGAATGCCATCTCAGAGAAGAGAACTAGCCAGCAAGCTCTTTGGGCGTGTGTTAACACTAAGCCTCCAAATGTATGGTTGCAGAGTGATACAAAAGGTGAGAAAATGACTATTGTGAGCCTCTAACTTGTAAAAACCTTTGTCCCAATCATTTTGCTCTGGGTGTGTTTGATTTTGCTGAAAATGCCAAAGAAAGAAAAAAATTGCCAAGTGCGAGGTATTTACCTACTTTTGACATTACCTTAGTAAATGAAAATAGAATGCAATTGATATGATTAAAAAATGAGTTTAAACAATTGTATAAAATGAAATTTTTGAGTTTGAGTCTATCCTTTATAGTTTCTCTAGTTCTCTAAAATAAATTTGTTGAGTTCAAGTCTACCTCTTATTTCATCCAATTTTTTTTCATTCCAATGTTCTTTCTTTTCCTCCCTGGTGTTATTTAGTTTCCATATGGACCCTTACTCTCGATTTTAATGCATAAAGTGATACGCGTAAACATGAAAATATAAGAAGTTGGTTTCTAATGCTACCATGTAATTTTTAGTATCATTCTTTATTTGGGCTAGAAGGGGGAGCATTGATGCACCGGTTAGGATGTCTCTGTGTGATTGAGAGGTCATGGCTTCAAGTCTTGGGAGCGATGCCTTGTCAAAATGACAAGGGAAGGCTCCCCCTCATAGACCCTTCCCGTGGTCTATGCCAATTTGCACTGGGCTGGCAAAAAAATCAATCTTAGAACTACTCGTGTTTACACAATAGAACTATTTGCTTATTTTGGTTGACTTGGCAATAAATTAAGAAAAAATTGGTTCTTTACCTTGCAGGTAATAGAGGTGGTAGATGTAGACCAGAAAATAAAAATGGTTGAAGAGATAGATGGACATGTGATGCGCTGTGTACGTGATCAGAATGGGAACCATGTGATCCAAAAGTGTATTGAGTGTGTACCAGAGGATCATATTCAGTTCATAGTTACAACTTTTTTTGGTCAAGTTGTGACTCTTTCTACCCATCCATATGGTTGTCGTGTGATACAGGTAGTTTTTTGTTTGAATTGATTTTTTTTAGTATTTTGAAAAAGATCATATCTTTTCTTAATGAAATATCTTGTGATTGGTTGACAGAGAGTACTAGAACACTGTAATGATCCACAAACCCAAAGTAAGATGATGGAAGAAATATTAGGGTCGGTAAGCATGCTAGCACAGGATCAGTATGGTAATTATGTTATACAGGTATTGAATTTTGTATCTGCAATTTTTTTCCTTGTTTAGTAGCCTGTTTATTTTTCTTTTCTTTTGTGTGTACAAAAACCCATTTTTGTTTTTGATTTTGTTAGCTGAAGTTTTTATACATTGTATGTGCTTAGATTGCAAGAAACAAAATAAGATTGGTCCATTCAATATTTCAAAGTTATGTGATGTTAAATATCCTGATTTTTACGGATGTTAATAATCCAAACAGCATGTACTGGAGCATGGGAAGCCACATGAGAGGTCTGCAATCATACAGGAACTAGCTGGAAAGATTGTGCAGATGAGCCAGCAGAAGTTTGCCTCCAATGTTGTTGAGAAATGTTTGGCTTTTGGTGATCCCAGTGAAAGACAGCTACTGGTGAATGAGATGCTTGGTACAACTGATGAAAATGAGCCTCTTCAGGTTCAGAGCTCTATTGACCCTTTGTCGTATTAATATGATTCATTGCTGAAAGTATTTCTTTTGTTATTATTATGCTGTTATATGATTATTCTTCAGTTAAACCTCCATACAAGTGCATTTGCCAGGTAAAACACCTTGACTTTTTGGAAGTATTTAGAGTCAATCGGTACCTATCATAGAGAAAGAAATCGGGGATGAAACTTCGGAATGGAATAAAACTTGGAATTTCATCAATCTAGGATTAAGGATCTAAAAAATGGAATTGTCAACACAGCCCCAGTGATTTTATCAAATACGAGACCTACAACAGCTTGAGTTTTTATGTTATTTTTTAAAATTAATTTAAATTTTAATTAATTTAAATATGATTTAATTTGTCAAAATTTATTTAACTTTCATGAAGAAAAGTTCATCGAAAATTAGAATAAAAATAATTAAAAAGGGAAAGAAATTTAAACTGAGTATCTATGATTTTTAAGTTTTTGATTACCAGTTTTAATTATTTGGCCCCAAATCGATATATTTTATCTTTGGAGTCCTTGATTGACAGTGTACATTATAATAAAACCCCAAGCCTTTTCTGGGTACAAAACAATGCCTCAAATGGCCCCAAAGGCTGGTTTGTTATTCACCATTAAACCTTTTGGAATGTTGGGAAACAGGAAGACAGAGCAAACCTAATAGGCTAATAGTTGTTTAGGTCACCTTATGCTTGTTATTATTATATTTGTGGCTATTTAAACAATTTCGTACTGGGGTTGTTTTGGGGACAGGCAATGATGAAGGATCAGTTTGCAAATTATGTTGTACAAAAAGTGTTGGAAACCTGTAGTGATCAGCAGCGAGAATTGATCCTTGCACGAATAAAAGTTCACTTGAATGCATTGAAGAAATACACATATGGAAAGCATATTGTTGCTCGTGTTGAGAAGCTTGTTGCTGCTGGTGGTAAGTACCAAATATGTTATCACACCTGTTCACTTGCGTCTATTGAAATTAAAGTGTTGTGGCCTGAAAGCGACACACAGAACTACTTAGAGGGCCACAGTTGTGAGTAATGAGTACTCATATCACATTCCAACTTTTGGCAATTAATAGTTATGTCCTCCGTCCCAATCTACAAATCTCGGCTCAGTTTGCAATAATTGAGTAATCATAAAGTTAACTCTTTAGTGATAATATTTAAATCAGTAATCAAATATAATTTGCCTATTCAAGAACTACACTAAAATTTGCCTAATCAAATATAATTTGCCTATTAAACGAATTGAATATGATAGAAAGTTCTTATATAAAACTAGAATAAAAGAGAGTTAGGTTGACCTCACGAATAAATTGTGACTAATGCAGTATTTAGATAAAAGTCCCCTTGCACCCTCCTGCATTACACCACTTTGTATCATAAATGAAAATATTCGACGTAGCTCCCAATACTTTATTTAGCTATTTTCACTCTTGGGATTTTTTTGGTTGTACTGGTTTTAATTCCACCAGAAGAGACTTAAGCATATCAAACCAGACAAGTACAAATCAGTCCAGATTTAAACAAATTAAACCAGACAATTTGAGTGACCAAAAGTTACAATTACTTAAATGTTGTGGTACAAATTATGAAATTTATCCACCACAAATTTACCTTTTTGTCAAGCCACATTTGTGGACGTCTTATTCAGAGTTTTTATATGTTCAAATGAATAAATGGTTTATTCGTTTTCAATATGATGCAGAAAGGAGGATTGCTGCTCAGACCTCACCAAGTCCAGCTTAGATCTTTTTAGAGGATGAACATTGTACAGCTAACTGAGGCTAGTTTGAGCTCTACCCCTTTCGCTTTTAATTTCTTGCCATCTCTCTGGTGATGCGCTTAATAAGGTCCCGCCCTTGTGCTAGAAAAAGTGTATATTTTGTAGTTTTAAGGTTTATATACATAGAGCGAACGAAGTAAAAAGGAAAGCAGCGCTTCAATGCTTTTTTCAACGCAGCACTCACCGGTGAGTCGGGGGTTGCCGAGGAAGTTGATTTTCTACAGGGTGTAAAAAATATCATCATAAAAGGGGTTGTTGAAGTAGCTTTATGTATCGACGTGACTGTACAAAAACGTTTCCTTTGCTGAGAGTTTTGTTGTTTTTAGGTGTGTGCTTTCAAGTTTCCATGTACTGCTGCTGTATTTAACATTTTCTGGTATGGCAAGTTTGCCTTCAATCTATTTTGCTGTATTTCTTTCCTCAATTTTTTTACTCCCAATTCCCAAAGTAGAATTTAAATTTAGCTTTGCATGTTTTTAACAAAATAATGGTATTATTTCTTTGAAATTGTATAAAATGTGTACCCTCAAAATGCTTCGGTATTTATGTAAATGTTTTTTCACAAACTAATTGAGAAAAAAACAACAATATGAAATACATTTTCTAATAAATATCAATTGGGATTTCCGTCACCGTTGGTTGTTGTTTTCCCTTTGTCACAGGACTTCATATGTTTTATTGTCATCCCGTATCCGTGTGAACACCCCAAACTATGGATGGACCCGGGCCGGTTCGGGCCCGGTTCGGGCCTAGGCCCGGCCGGGCCTCGGCTCTGTTTTGTTGGGCCCGAGCCCGAACCGGTGGCCACCGGTTCCGGTTCCGGGCCGGGCCGGTCGGGCCACCCGGTTTAATTTTTTTTTTTTCCTTTCTTCCCCCACCCCCCCAAACCCCCCCAAACCGGCCTAAACAGATAGCCCAAGCCCAACAGCCCAAAACAAATGAAAAAAATTAAAAAAAAAATAGATTTGGCCCGGACCCGGGCCCGAACCGGCCGGGCCGGGCCGTCAAAACCATGAACCGAGCCCGGAACCGCCCCACCCCCGGGCCTCCGGCCCGAACCGGACCCGGACCCGGATAACCGGGCCGGGCCGGGCCGGGCCCGCACAGTAGCAGGTCGGGCCGGTCCCGGGCCGGGCGGCCCGAACCGAGGCCATGCATACCCCAAACTACACTCTTTCTTGTACCACTTGCAAGTTACCCACCACAATCCGGTCTTCGGGTCCTTCCACTTATCAAAATTGTTTTGCATAAGGGAAGATATCTTTTCATATTTAAAATGATAGATGTATTTATGTATAAGTAGGAATGTGGGATAATAAGAGAATATGAAGATGGAGAAGAGTTGGAGAAGAGGTGTAGAAAAATGTTAGAAAATAGATGTATTTATTTATAGATGTTTTTGTACCCCACTCCCCACACCACCACCCCCGGGACCCCCTGCCCCCACCCAAAGCCCCAACGGCTATATAGCCGTTTGGGAGCTGTTTTTTTTTAATTTTTTTAAATATTTTTTTTTGAAAATTATACATATTGTAAAAAAGTTAATTAATTTAATGAATTAAGTAAAGCTATATTTACTTAGAAAATTGGTTTGATTTATAATTTAAAAATGTTACAAAATAGGTGGAGTAGTCTTCTTGTCCAGTCGGCCTGACGGAAACCGCCGTCCAGCCGAGGGCATTTCGGGCACATCCCGATGGAATTTTTTGATGAAATTTTTTGAGCATGTTCTTCATGAAGTCTAGTTTATCCATACCAAATTTCAGCTCATAATTCGATCGGGAAGGCATTCAAATAATTTTGTGAAGTTAACTGGGCAGTTTATATGTATGAACTGCCCAGTTAACTTCAAGAAATTATTTGAGTGTCTTCCAGATTGAATTTTTAGCTGAAATTTGGTATGGATAAACTAGACTTCATGAAGAACATGCTCAAAAAATTTCATCAAAAAATTCCACCAGGAAGTGCCCGAAATGCCCTCGGCCGGACGGCGGTTCCCGTCAGGCCGGCCTGACATGAACATTCCTCAAATAGGTGTATAAGTATTTAAACAAATTACATATTGTAAATGTATTTTTAATTTAAAAACAGCCTTTAGATTTTAGAAAAATAATTTTAAGTTGTAAGTTTGTAACTAATTAATTAATTTGAGAAGTGCTACATATGAAAAATGAACGCATATTTATTTGAAATATGAAGTACAAGTTTACAAATTAATTTGAAGTACAAGTACAAATTTACAACTTTGAAATATGAAGTACAAGTTTACCATTTTGAAATATAAAGTACAAGTGCAAATTAATTTGAGAAGTGCTACAAAATACATTTTATAATAAATTCTAAAATACTAATTAATCAGAATCTCCGGCATAGGTAGAGCCACCATCGGTTGTTGAGTCATCCATAAATTCTTGTGAGCGGGTGATGCTCATTTCTTGAGTTCTACGTGCGGCCTTCAACCAATCGTGGTAGCATATAATCGTCTCAAGAGACTTCGCGCTCAATCTCGTTCTAGATGTCGTTAGGACGTTCCGGCCGAACTAAATTCTTGTTCCACAGCAACTGTTGAAACCGGCATTGATAGTACTTGCTTAGCCATTCGTGCTAAAATCGGGAACGTTCTTTCTTTTGACTTCCACCAGTTTAGAACGTCAAAGTCATCATTTTCTTCAAAATCAACTTCATATGTTAAATACAAAGTAATCCCATTCAATGCGCTTTGTTCAGTAACGTGAGTTGTTTTAGTTTTTTCATAAGATTGCCAGATGCATATTTAAAAATCGATTTTCCTTTAGATGCAGATGTTCGTGTCGGGGGAGAGGGAGCGTTGCTATATTGACATATTGTGCACGAAACTCTTTAAATAAGGCATAAAATAAAGTACTGACCTCGTTGTATTCCGTTTTCGGATCTATGGGGTTATCGTCATACATTGGAAATTCACCAAAAAAGCAAGGTAATAGAAGTTGAAACAATCTGTCAAATTAGCTAGTCTAAAACGAGGATCGAGAATAAATGCAATACCATAAATACGCGGAATATGTGCATAATATTTTCAAAACTTTCCCTTCATATAATCACAAAAATAACTCACAAAAATGGCATTCTCAAATTCTTTAAAAGCACCGGCGAGATTAAAAGCTTCACGAATAAATTGGTTTGCGGTAGGTTTATAAACATGACTAAAAGTTTCAGTTGCATTAAAAGAAATCAAACCATTACAAATTTTTTCGTAAGTGTCGATCTCAGCTGAGTTTATAATATAGTTATCATGTTGTTTTAAAAAAGCAGGAAAATGTTCGTTATATCTAAGAACAACTTTAAGTAATTTATAAGTACTATTCCAACGAATACTCAAATCTTTAGGAAAAGCAACATATCTCACACCTCTTTCAGTCAAATAAGTTTGCCATTTTAATCTTAGTTGACCATTACCCCAAATACGTCTAATCCCCCCCTTGACTACCTTCATAGCATCTCCTAACGCTTTTAGACCGTCTTGCACACATAAATTTATAACATGACATTCATAGCGTTGATGAAAAAATCTACCCATCAAAGTATTGGCACGACACAATTCACGCAATCTAGGTATAGCAGCAGTATTATTAGTAGCATTATCGAAACCAATAGCAAACACCTTATCAATCAAATTATACTCAATTAAAATACGCTCAATCAAAATATAAATATGTTCAGCGGTGTGACGATCATTAAATTCACGAAAAGCAAGAACACGTTTATGCATATTCCAATCCTCATCAATATAATGTGCAGTCAGACCCAAATAATATAAACGATGAAAATCATCCTCCCATATGTCAGAACAAATAGTAACACGCCCATCAAAGTTTGCAAACAAAATTTGTAACCTTGTCTTTTCCGCTTTATAAAGCCTTATAATTTCTTTCTTAACAGTTTTGCGACCATAACCTCTAAATTGAGGATTTAAACTACCTTGTGCATAATCTCTCAAAGCAAGACTTTCAGAAAACATATAAGACAAATTTTCTTCACAAATTAAGTTAGCCATACCAGTCAAATTTTGTGCATCATTGTATGAGAAATTACCAAAAGGTTGAGAATTCGCAAACCTCGATATTTGAGTTTGCTTCCCCGTTCCGCCGCCTAATTTTGCATACTCCACGGGGTGCTTTGCCTTAAGATGCCTTGCGGCGGATCCGTATCCGCCAGAGGTCCCCGAGCTATAATTGTTGTTGCACCACTTGCAAGTTGCGTGCCAATACCCAGTTTGTGCATCCTTCCACTTATCAAAATTATTTTTCATTAGTTCAGATTTACTTTTTTTTTTAATTACCGGTGGCGGTTTAGGATGAGGCAAGCTCGTCGGCGTTGTGGCCTCTGGCACCCTCCTCCTCGGCCGTCTCCGGTTCCATTTCCTCCGCATCTTCATCCTCAAGCTCCTCTTCGTCAATGGTCGCCGGGATTTTTTGTTGTTGTAGAAAGCGGTTATTATGTCGGGCCAATTCTTGTTGTAGTTGTTCCTCGGACATCGCATCTCCATCTCTCCTTTGGTAACCCGTTTCAAAATCATCGCGGCTTTGAGATGAAGAGCCGACAAGTTCTTTACCTTTGCGGGATTTCTTCCTCCCAATCTCGTTCCTTCGATTGCGCTCGAGGTTACCCAAATCAACCGAATATCTACAACCTTCCATCTTAAATATGTAACAAATATTAATTTGCAACAAATATAATAATGAATACAAAAGTAATGTGCAACTAATTAAAACTATTTTAGTTAATACTTCAAACTAATTTAGTGAAAACTACTTTAATAAAATGTGAAGTACTTTAATTAAGTAGTGAATTTAAGTGTGACTGTGACACCGCACCCGAACGTCCTTGAAAATTTGATTTTTTAAAATTCAAAGTTTATGTATTGGATTTCTGATTCCCAAACGATTGTAAAACGATTAATGTTTTACGTAATTAATGATCGATTATTGTACTGTTCGAACTCGTATATAAGTATCGGGCCTTATTAATAAATAAAAGAGCCTAAAATTATCTAAATAGTGATACATAACGTTTCAAGACAAGTTGAGGAAGGGCGGGCGGCCCAGATATTATTTTGGGCTCAACCCGCTAAAATAGCAAGTATTCGAGAATGGCGTCGTAGGCCCACTCGGGGGCGACCCACACGGCTTGTAGCCCAATAATATGAATGACAAATGTCAAAATAAGTGATAGGATGATTTGAGATGAATACAAATGCCTATGATCCCATCTTTGACATTATTGAGCTAAATAATGGGAGTAGGATTTTCCTTCTATAATGTCCATCAAGTAAATTATTAAGATGAGCCTACACATATTGGAGATCAATAATGTGATGTAGGAAGTTGACTTGTTCTAAATAAATTAGGATGAGTACAAAAAGACATCTTTGACAAAAGATAAAACAATAGAACCCATCTTCCCATTTTTGGAAGTATTGATAGA